AGTTTCTTCGAGTCGAGGTCTCTCTTGATAAGGAACAAGAAAGTGGTCTAAAGTTGATCGTCTTACTCTCTTAATCAAAATTTTTCTAAAATGCGCTAGCACAGTGTCGTTCATTAAATTAATGACCCTATTAGCCACAACTTTGTTAGGATGGTGATTCTCGATAAATTCCTGCACATCATTCCATTTTCTGCAAATTTCCTTGATCTCAGCACTGGTGATTTCTTCCCTAGCCTCTTCCTCTGACGAATGCTCTTCTTGTAAGACTTTCATCTGTTCTTTCTGCATGGCAACCAGCTCTTCTGTCGTTAGTTCATTTTGATGGTCTTTCAGCAACTCCTCCATGTCTGCATCATCTACCTCTACTCTCAAACTCTTGCCAATGGACACGATTTCATGCACTACATCAGGAGAGCTCTCTTCTTCAAATTCCTGAAAGTTTCGCTGTGGGACACAAGTTGGCCAAAGTTTCCTCCAGGCCGATTGCAAAGTGCGATGAGAGACCTCACTCCAGGCTTTGTCAATAAGGTTGATACAATGCAAGATGTTAAAATGCTCCTTCCAAAAAGCTCTAAGAGTTAAGTAGGCATCATTGGTAACCTGAAAACACATGGTAAACAGTGCCTTGGTATACAGCTTTTTAAAATTGTAAATCACTTGCTGATCCATTGGTTGCAGTACTGGAGTTGTGTTGGGTGGAAGGAATTTGACCTTGATGATGTCATGTTCACTATCCAAGTCGTCCTCCGAATTTGGTAGATGTGCTGGAGCATTATCCATTAAGAGAAGACATCTAAGAGGAAGATCCATTTCCTGAAGATAATTTTTAACAGTAGGAGCAAACACTTCTGTGAGCCAATCCATGAATAAAGTCCGAGTTACCCATGCCTTACTATTTGCCTTCCATTGTACAGGCAGTTTGAACTTTATCACATTTTTGCTCTTAAAGGCACGGGGATTTTCAGCAATGTAGACTAAAAGTGGCTTGATTTTGAGGTCACCACTTGCATTAGCGCAAAATAAAAGAGTGACTCATGGGCTTGTGCCTGGAAAGTGCTTTCTCTTCTTGGGTTATGTACGTTCATCTAGGCATTCTTTTCCAAAAAGACCAGTTTCATCGCAATTAAGCACTTGATTCCAGACGTATCCTTCACTTTTTACAAACTCTGCGAATTCATCTACAAATGCTTTTGCTGCTTTTTCATCTGAACTTGAAGCCTCCCCGTGTCTTATGACACTGTGAATGCCAGTTCGTCGACGAAACCTATTTTACCACCCTCGGCTCGCTTTAAAGTCTTGCCTGTCTGAACTTGTACTGGGTGTCTGGGTCAACAAGTCATTATATAAATTTTTAGTCTTTTCACAAATTATAGCTTCACTAACACTGTCTCCAGCAAGTTGCTTTTCATTGATCCATATTAGCAACAGTTTTTCAACTTCATCTAAAACTTTAGATCTTTGTTTCGATATCACATTCACTCCTT